AGGCAAAATTCGAGGACAAAAGTCAAATCTTAACTGCTTATGTAGTCCAGAGTGATAAGATTGCACTATTAGGAAGGACTTGGATAACAGTTTTTGGGAATATACTAGATAAATTTGTGAATATTGTCGAGGATGATTATGATAATACCATACAAGAATTAATCGAGCAATGTAATTTTGTAAATATAATCGAGGAAAATAGAAAAGTAGATAGTAAAAATTATGAAGGTACATATTACAATAAAAAGTATGAAAATTATAATTATAAATATCATAATAAAAAAAATTTGAATAAAATTGAATTATGTAACTTAATAACAAATGTTACAAAAGAAATTAATTTTTATAAATTAGAAGAAATAAATCATTTGATAACAATTGGAGAAATAATAGTTATTAAAAACAATAATGAAATAAAAATTGAAGAAAATAATAAAATCAAATTTTTTATAATTAATAAAAAATTTAAAAAAACTTTGGAAAAGAAAATTAAAACAAGGGTGATTAAATGTCGCGATGAAAGAGAGATTAGGAGTACGATATGGAGATCATATGTTGAAAATGGAAGGAGAAAGAGAAATTTTGTTATAAAGAACAAGTTAAAGAGAAATTATGATATTAAAAAAGTGTTTAAATTGAAAAATAAAGGAGTAAAATTTAAAAATAAAAATAATTAAATAATAAATAAAAAAATTATTATTATATAAAATGAAACAATTCCAAATATTCTATTATGATTCTTATTCTTATGAATGAACCGCAAGAAGTAAAGTGAACGAATTTAATAGCAATTTATCGTCAAATAGAAACATCATGAATGGTGACAAAATATGGTATAAAACCTTCAAAGGTAATATGTGGGACAAAGGCATGATAAAACGTAAAAATGGAAATTTAACATTTGAAGTTGAAACAGGAGACAAAATTATTAGAAGACATTTAGACCAAATTAAAAAAGGTCTACGAGTAGCGCACCTCTGGATGAACACTGTAAATTTTAGAAGAAATGATGATCAAAATGTAGAAATGCAAGAACAGTGTCTTGTTAGTCAAAGACCTAGCAGGAATATAATGTTGCCCAAAAAATTCGATAATTTTATAATGAAATAAAGACTAAAAATATATATATATAAAATTTTGAAAGAGAAATGGAATGATCAATACAAACAGCAAATCAAAAAGCAATATTCAACTAACGACGTTTCAACCAACGATGTTTCATGATGTCGATAATCGATTCAACAAACGATAACATGACTGAAGTGACGATAAGATTCACGTGCAAGAAAAACTTGAGTGGAGATCATTTTTTTAAAGGGTGGAATGTTAATATGACCGATTAATACTAACCTTTAAATTGTTTTTTTTTATGTTGTTATAAATTGATTTTTTTTATAAATTGATAGATTGATTTTTTTTATATAAATTTTTATATATTTTGTTATATAAAGCAGATTTTTTTAGTTTAAAAGAGAATGTAAAATTTAAATAGAGATATTGTGTAAAATTAAATAATTTATTTAAATAAACGATTTTTTATATAAACTAATCTTCGAAAATACTTTATGGATTACATCAAATATTCAAAGATACTTCAACGTCTATCCGTTTTTAGCATTCCTCGTATGGAGTTCCAGAACTCTCTGTCTATGACTTTCATCTCTTAGTTTAATAAGCTTCTGTGATAGAAGATATCCAGTCTTTATTTGGTAGTCCTCTGATCTCAGTTTGGTCATTACATACGTATAAAAATAAATTTTTAAAATCCTACCAACATTTTTCTAGAAAGGAATCTCGGTTAGAAAGGGTAAATTGGTTTATATTTATGAAATGCCTAGTTGAAATAATATCCTTAACCTAGAGGAATTTCAGATAATTGTAGTTCTGTCTAATAGTGGGCTGTTGGAGTAAATTTCCCAAAACTGCACATCTGGTATTCTTATTTCTCCATATGTCGCTCTTGATCATTATGTGCAATTTAACCATTCTATCGTCAGATATGTTCATGATGGTCATTGTTTTTGCGTTATAGAATCAGTTATGTTAGAAAGGATCAAGTCGATTTGTGATATGTAATTTCAATGTGAAAAATTGTTGTTTCTTGTGAAAAAATAACTATTTTAGTTTATGTTTAAGCATAATTGTAATGATAATCTACAGTCAGTCTTGTTCTAGTACTCAAAGATAAGATGAATTTTATGGCTTATGTTCTAATTATTTTTTTAAAAATGAACTACACTTTTTTGTTTTCAATACATTGTGAAAAGAACAGATATAAGAACAAGATAAAATGTAAAGAAAAACAATAATATAAAATACAAGATTATGCTTAAAAAAGGGAAGGAGGGGGCGTTCTATTAAGAAAACCATAACTGAGTCCCAAAAAGGAACAATAATTATATCTAAACATTTCTATTTGTATATTTTGTCTTATAAAAAAGAATTATTTGGACACCAATGTTTGGATTTGGATTGAGCCCAAGTTTTTTTAAAAATATAGATAGTGTTAGATTTAAATTGTCTATAATGTTTTGTATCATAATCCTTTTTGCTTGAATAAGTATGTTACGTCTTTAACATATGTAAGATAAGGTAACACAAGTATAATCCCAGGAGAGAGATTTACCCATAACCCATGTGATAATAGCCATCAGGTCTTAAGCCATTATCTGACTATTGGTTACGAGGTTCTAAGATATTTGGGATTCGAGGCTTCTTTAGAAATAAGTTGAGATTATCTATTGACGAATCGCTGTTGACGGCGAGACTTTTAATACAATTTTAAGTTACAATTCATGGGCAACCATGAGGTTGGACTCAAGTAGATTACCTAAAATAATTCTTAGTTTTATTTTGTTTAGGATTAAACCTATAAGTTTTGAATTGGTTTCAATAAAATATATATCTTCTATAAGAATAGATAACAGGCCACAAATCGTGCCATTTTAAGATATCTAAGGTTAAGGTACTAACTAAATTTGGTAATAGGAATCAAATTGAAATGAATACGATTAGTAAAATATTTATTTTGTTCGAATACGAATAAACAATCATTTGAGCCAAATAAAAAATTAATCTATTATATTAAACAATTAATTGATAATTCATTTCTAAATATTACTAAAACTGAATAATTTAAGAAGATGTTTGATTTTAAATATATTATTATTAATATAATTATTTTCGATTATAGTTTACTGATAAAAATGCCTACCCCATTTTAAAATGATAAGGCACGTTAAAAAAGTTTTTGAGAAAATTAGAAAACATGGTTTAATATCTAATTTCTCTAAAAGCTTATTTTTCAAAAATTAAATTCGTTTTTTGGGACATGACATCTACGTAAATGGTAAAAAATCTAATGGAGATAATATAAAAGCTTTTACAAACATGCCAGAACCTAAAACAAAAGAATTAATAACATTTTTAGGCATGGCTAGTTATTATCGCAATTTTTTATACAATTTTGCGGATATAACAGATCCTTTATACAAAATAGTCAACGAAGATAAATGGTTATGGGAAAGCACACATCAGAAAAGCTTTTAAAAAAGTTAATAAGTCCTCCATCAATGCCGAATTTTTATGATCCAGATTCACCTATAGGGATAACAACTTACACTTAGAAAATAGATGCTGTTCTATTTCATATTGAAGGAGATGGTAAAGAAAAACACATGCATTTGCTTTAAGAACTTTGTTAAAATCAGAAACAAATTATACTAACATCGAAAGATAAGCCTTATTTATAATTTACGCAATGAAAAGATTTCAAGGATATCTTATCGGAACAAAATAAACAATAATTACATATCACAAGACACTCGTGTATATTTTTACGAAGGGTTTTAAAGGCAATACTTTTCACGAGGTTACAAAAATGGAATATGGCGATGGGGGCACATGATTCCAAAATAGTTCATAGAGCTGGAAGATGCAACTTTGTACCAGATTGTTTATCGCATCTACCACAGATGAGAAGACATGATATAAAATGTGAATGATGAAAAAGTTGAAAATGAATTATAGGACATACCAGTGAATTTTAAAATGATAATGAAAGAAACTGCTGCTGACAAAGAATTAATGGAGATTATTGATAATATTAGGAAAGGTAACAACTAATAAAGAATAAAACTTACAAAAATATGGAAATGGAATTAAGTTTGATAAAAAATTGTCTTTTTAAAGAAAACAGAATTATAATACCACGCAAAATGAGCAATGAAATGTTACAAGAATTACATAAAGGACATTTAGAAGCTGGGAAAACTATATTATTGGCTAAGAAATTGACAAATAATAACGATCAAGCTAAACAAACGACAAACAATCACCGATCAAGGATGAAACCGGTAAGATAGACAAAGAATTAGATGATAGACAACGTGGGAAACTAAAAAAAAATGAGTAAATTGTTAAAAAGACAATTTTTTGATTTATATTTTTCTTTATCAAAAATATGTTTTAGTTATTTTTTAAACTATTGTTTATTCAAAAAAAAATATTTTAGTTATTATATTTTGCATTTTATCTTTTTGTATATAAATTATATTTCATTTTATAATATTCAAAACTGTTTTAATACCTATATAAAAAAAGCTTTTATTTTATATTTAAAATAATTTATTTTATGTTGAGAAAACATTCAAAAGTAATTCAGTTATATTCTAATCATATATTTATTTTGTGTATAAAATAACTTTTTTGTGTTAGACAGATTATATTTATTCTACCAATAAACTTATTGTGTTCAAAAATATTCTTCTTCATAAATTTAAAAGTGTTTATTTATACAAACATCTTTGTGCCTCAACTACGATACTTCAAATTTGAGCAAGAAAGGCAATGTCTCCTATTCTCAACTATTATGGTACATCTTGCGCAATGATGTGACAGTGAAATATAGAGTCCCAAGCAAATATCTACTACAATTCCTTATAAAAAAACATGGTTATTTTTTAGGGGAATATACTATAAACTTTATTAATTTATTCAGACTACACCTTTATATTAGATTATAGAAAATAAATTTAATGTTACTAAAACGGGTACTTGGGAACGTTCATTCAACCTTATGAAAGATAAATTAGATAGTTTCAATCGAAATTTAACATTGAAGGTTTAATGTAATTAATAAATAATATTATAGTATATGATAGAAATGGGAAGAAAGCCTTTCATTAGGAAACCTAAAGGATGAATTATATCATCACTGGAAAAAATATATACCCATAATATATAATCCTGATTTTAACTTTAATAACCCAACTCAATTGATAGATGATGATAAATCTGCTAATGATATATTATTTAAACCAATGGAGTATTTTATATGTGGAGGTGATCCAGATGAAGTTTTCAATCAGTTAAAAAATGAAGATGTCATGCCAAATGTTTGTGGCAAACTTTTCAAAAATGGTCAACCAACTTATTCTTGCATGTAAATCAAAATTAATTAATTATTTTTTATACAAGTGCATCATAGTGATTGTGCCGCAGATGGTACATGTGTTTTATGCTCAGAATGTTTTCAGCATAGTGAACATAAAAAGCATCGATATAAAGTGGGCAATATTGCTTAATATGATTATAAATATATTTATTAAAGATATTCACCAGCTCAGGTGGAGGAATTTGTGATTGTGGAGATATTGAAGCTTGGAAAATGGATCCCTACTGTACAATGCATATGCCAAAAAACAATATTGAACAAGAAAATTCTCAATTTGAGGCAACATTAAAATCAGAATTAGAAGATGTTGCTAATAATGTGGAAATTATTTATTAAAATATAATTTATATATTTTAAATATTTAGGCATTAAATAAACTTTCACAAAATTTAGTTAATAGAGCTGGATCAGTTTTAATGTCAACCATCCAATATAGTGTTTTAATGTTAACTTGGCAAGATCCATTGAACTTACCTCCTGCTTTAGATTCCATGTGATAAAATATATAATAAGTTTTAATTTTTTTTTAAAATAAAAATATAATAGAGCTCCAAATGAAAATCATGTTACAATGTTATACAATGATGAAATTCATACATACGAACAAGTCATAAATACACTTTGCAGAGCTATTGATTGCAGCCATAAAGAGGGTGTAGAATTTGCCACAACTGTTGATAGAGAAGTAATTTATATTCTTAAATTAACACATCATCTAGGCCAGAATTGGAGTGCTTCATGTATACAGGGATGGATATTAATTCTTTAATAAAAATGATCTTATATTATATTATTTAGGGTTGAGTATGTTACTTTTAAATAATAATATTTACCATTACACAAGGGAAAAATATAGTAAATTACTCTCACCACCTCAAAAATGGTTAACAGTTGCATTTAGTATTGTGTAATTGAATAATTTTAGTCAACTCCCAAATGGCTTACTTAGTCAAGTTTTTTCTTTGAAAAATAAGTTTTTAGGTGAAAAAATTGGCTTAAACTAAATTAGGCATAGACTAAAGAGCTTGGCCATTACATAATAAATATAAAGAAATAATAATTAAGGTTAGGATTATCTTGTGCAATGCTTATGGATGAATATCCAAGTTCCTTGGCTGATGCCTAATTTTTGACTAGTTGTTTTCACAGATTTTTAGGCTAAGCCTGCAAGATTTATAGCCTATTATGCATCATTAGTTACATTACTGTTATAACGTGTAACAGTTACAAAAACTCTTCATTACATTAAAAAAAATATAATCATTCATTTTACTGCAAGTCATTTAAATAATTAGACAGTATAAACTATAAATATACACACTAGTTTATTCTTATTTTTTGATTTTAAGCATTTAATAAAAATGAACTAATTTTTTAAATAGAACATCATTTAATCTTCTATTTGGTCTATTAATCAAATTAGGAATAGAAATAGGCGATTGACGAAAGTAAAGGATGGTAAATTTGTATTATAATAAATAAGAATATATTTGATTATCGGATATTTATGCAGTATTGATCGATCCCTACATCTTTCAAAATTTTGTAGAATCCAACTCCAACTTTGGGAATAAATTATTCATAAGGTGTTTACTTCTCAAGGACTGAATAAACGCAGGCCATCTTATAATATAGGTGTTTACTTCTCAAGGACTGAATAAACGCAGGCCATCTTATATATTGCAGTGGCCATCAAAAGATCTTGCCTTTTTATTTTATCAGTGAATGATATTCCCCAGAGTGATTTATAAGAATGGATGGGAATTTATGGCTAAATAGGAATGCTTAAGTTTAGCCGTTAATAGACGAATTTATAATTTCATCTTTAAACAAAGTCATGTATTATTCTAAATTTTATATCCATTTGGAATGTAAATGAATGAACTATGCTAAACGCCTCGATTTTACCCGATTTTTAAAAACGACTAATACAATATTTTATCTAGAAAAATATCGCTGAAACCTAAAGATTTTGCTCATTGATGACATAAAAGACATCTATTAGCAAAATCTCGAGCATTTTTAAAAATTGGCTTTTAACAACACCAGAATCAATGAGTAAATATTAAAAATAACGAAAAACAAACTACTCAAAATATGTAAAGGTTACAGAGTCCTTCGTTACATTTTCAAATTGATAGATTATAGGAGCGTTACATTATGTAACGTAACACTACCTGTAGTGTAACCCTATTTGTAACGTTTTGTCTAACTCTGATATTATTAGTATAACTTGTGAATTGAACTATAATTTTGTAAGCAATCTAGAGTCATTAATATAATTTTTGTTTTTAAAAAAAAATAATTTTTATAAAAACCTTTAAAAAAAACAATAAATATTGGAAATTAAATCTTAGATGTTTTAAACATTTAACAGAATTAAGTAGAAATATAATGTAATCCATTATTTCTACTTGTTATACTTAAATTTTAAAAACTAGAATGCAATAGAGAGAGTGATTTTGATTTTTGTTTCTAAAATTTATTGTTAATGCTTTGACGGTTTTACGGCTATATAAAATGTCTGAAATAAAATACCAATAGATATTATAGGTTTTGGTGATAGTCTTATGGAAAGGAAAAAGGTAAAATAAATTATGGCTAATAAAAGGAAAAATAACTATATTTATATTAATAAATACTTTAGAGGTCTACTAAATAAAACCTTCAAGGTTTTAGAAACTAAAAAGAAAAAATTCCTATGGAAAGTAGTTCCCTATGTAATTAAGAAAGCTATTATTTCACTCCTAAAAGGCATTTCAGTAGCATTGGTTTTTCTATGCAGAAACTCATACTTATGATCTAATATATTGAAAGATATTTATCATGAATTATGACATTTCTGGTCATCTATAATGCGACAAATTTTGCAAAGGCGTTTAGAGATCTTTAAACAATATGAAATGAAACTTGATTTACTGAATTTGAATGGGATCTAAATCTTAAAAGCAAAAAAAATTTGGAATCTTGCTTATATCTAGAAAATTTTTGAAACAATATTGGAAATAATATTAAGAGATGCTAAGTGAAGTAAACATTTGTATTTTAATTGAGCTTTTTAAAAAAATCGTGAAATAATCTTCAATATTTCCAAAATAGATTTCCAAATTAAGAATAATAACGTTATTTCCCCCATTTAATAAAAATTCAATTGAAATATAATTATAAGCTCCCCTAGCTTAGCATCTATTGATATTATTTCCAATATTGCATTATTTCATTATAGGAATAAATAGAAAGGGGTATAAGCATGATATTCATTTAGCGGTTTAGAACAGGGGCCCATTTATAAAGATATGGCAAGAGAATCTCTAAATCGCGAAAACAAAAAATGATCAATTTATAGAATTTATTAAATAAATGCAAAAATATAGAAATCAATGTAACTAAATGCAAATCATCGATATATGATATAGCCATATTTAATTTATTTCATAGAAATTATAATTTAATATTGTTAATTATTTTTAAATTTTAATGTATTCTTTATCATGATTAAATTATTTATTAAAATATATAATTTAATAAATGGCGCACAACAGGTGATTATAAAATAATGATATTGATAGGTAGTACCAAAAAAATTATAAATTAAGCAAAATTGGAACGTCAAAATATTTTTAAATTTCTGACTTAAAATCCACTCCTAACTCAAAATTTTTTAAAAAAATATCGAGGTGGAGCATTCCAATTCTGTATCGATCATGTGATTTTCAAAAAATAATATTTTCTCTAAAAAAGTTTACATACACGAAATTTGAGTAAAAAAAATTAAAGTATTAAACTAAATTAATCATATGATCACGTTTGCGCAGAGATAGGGATTGGTGTATTGCTTACAGTATACAGAATTATCATTCAAATATTGACACAAATTACTTATTTATATTTTTTTAAAAAATTTTTTTTCCCCATAATTTAAAACAGGGAAGAAGCCCAGTTATGGTAGCCAACGTTTTAGAGTGTGACAGGGTTAAATCCACAATCGAGCGAGCGACCTCGAGACATGGCGGGAAATCCCTCAAAGTTTTAGTATTCAAGAGCATAGTGGTTGCCCACCAAAATTTTGCCTACAAACTACTTATTTGGATCAATTACATTATAGCTTATTCTGGTAAGCATATGATTCCCAACTGTTCGTTGCGTTAACCGTACTTTTAATACATTTTCTAACACATAAATTACTAACATCAATCATACAATTTGAATACTAAAATTATTATATTTTCTAAAAAATATTCTCCCTTTTTAAAACGCAAGATGGGCTTAGATTACTTTTATGCAATTTAACGACTCAGCCATACTACGAAGATGAGCACTGCATTTTAGAACACATCATACTATACGATACTCATATTTGGAAAAGTTTTTAATTAAATATTTTTTTAAAAATAAATTATATAAAAAAATTATAATGATATAAAATAATTTGCGCGCAAACCAAATTCTTTAGACATTTTTTTAAAATATTTAATTAAATTTTTATAGTTGCAAGAATGAAATGTCACGAGCTATTTATGTCCAAGTAAAAAAAGATATAATGAATTATCGTTTATATTTTTTACCAATTCCGGGGAACTTATTAAACTGAATTGCTTACCATGAACGCATTGTCACCCAAACTTTAAAAAAAATCACCTTATTGTTAAAATCTATCTATAATTGAATGGCTTATTAATAATTTTCTAGAATGACGATTAATTTATCAAAATGCATTTTGAAGTGTTGTTGAATACAGATCAGGTGATGAGATATGCCATTTTGGTTTACTATAAAGAAATTTTTTTTAAAAAAAATGAAATTCATATTTTAAAAAAATTTTTTTATGTAAATTATTTACATAGGAAACCCAAATGATGCGCACCAGCTGATCTCTATTAATTACGCATTTTAAATGAATGAATAGTCAGTAATAAGTAATAATATTATATGTCACAATCAAGCCTTAATCTCTATAGTTTGCTATTTTATAATATTCTTGGTAGAATAACTGTTTCTCACAAAAAATACCTAAAAAGCAATAAACATGTTCACGATGTTATGCTTGTCTATATAAAAATCGGGGTAGTGTTAGGAGAGGGAGAGGATAGGGTTACTATATATATATATGTATATATACCGATCCTCAATATCAAATATTATTTATCCGACGAGGATTAAAAAAAATAGAAGGGCTATAATTTATTTACTACCAATGCCGAGTGGCAATTGATATCATTGATGATGATTCAACAATCATAAATAATTCACTTCCTCCACGTTATTTTCAATAAAAATAATTAACGTTTTTTAAGGTTTTATTATAAAGTAAATTATATAATTATATTAATCAAAATTCTATTTTGCTACGTTTATAATCGTATAGAAGGAAAGAAAAAATTTTTTAAAAATTATTTCAGCTCAAAAAAAATGATATGTGAAAAATCAATAAATAGAAACTGTACTATATATGACACGTTGATCATTAATGGGTTAATTGGATATAAATTGCTGACAAATAAGCTTGTACCTCATCATCCTATTCAAGGCTTTAGCCGATTATTTTATTTTTAATAAATTTTCTCCCTTAGGCCCAACAGAACGTTTTTTTAAAATCCGGTAACTTTATTTATTTATTTCCAAACACTGGATAATAATTTGTCGCGATTTTATGGAGTCTGAAATGGGGATTCTGATTGGAAATAAAAAAACCTAAATATCTTATAAACCATTTTGAAAAAAAAACGCTCTGTTTGGAAATGGCCTTACTATAATGGTCGAATGCATAATATATATATGACAAATAAATAAATCAAACTTTATTTTTTTTATTTAATAATTTTGAATTAATTCGATCAATATTTTCTTATAGATTCATTTTTAAATTCTATAATATCAAATTTAAATAACCATTCTCCTCTTCTTATATCCATTAAAACATTTTAAATATTTTGGAAAATTATAACCAGTAACTAATGAATAACTGATAAAAAAAGCTTAGGAAATATTTAATTAATCATTTTCTATTAGAAGTCTAAAAGTTTAAAAATTTAAGTTATAATTTGCCCATTAAATATATAATTTTAATATAAATCAGTCTTCCTCATCTTTTTGGCTTTGGGATGGACTGTCCTTTGAGCGCATTATGAAAGACACACCATTTTTATGGGGATATGAAATTTTTCCATTCACTAACTACGATAATTAAAGAAAGAAAATAAAGAAAGTTATTTAGTATCTTTATCTAAATGATAAAAGTATGATTAATTCCTTAACTTATTTACAGCAATAAGTAAATATATTGGCCAATATTACAATAGTGTGGGCATAATAAATCTGAGAAATCTTTGTGCAGAAAAAATTTCACAAATTATATTTTAAAAAGACTTGTCGATTTTAAAAATTAACAAAAGATATTTTAACAAAATATCTATAAATAAATTTATATTATTTTTAGGTTTTTACTGATTTTAAAATTTGATGCCAATCAAGGACATAATAAAATTAGAATTTGGAATTAGGATCCTTTCTGAACAGGGATAAATCTAGGGACCATGGGCAGACCGTTGAAAATGTAGCTTTCCAACAGCTGTTTTTTATTTTATTATTGTCCTCATAGCTAAACTATTTTAAGCAGACCCATGCTTAAATTTTGCCATGATATTCTCGCGTAAACAAATTTGCTATAACATTTTTGGGGTAAATACATCCATTAAAATTACATTTTGCGGGAAGTATCGTTTTGAGTAGAAATGGTCGAAGGGTGATAATGCCTTTCGCGGTTGGATGATTTTTCGGAATTGGCATGATTATAATACTAAATTTTTATGATTCATAATTTTATGATTGTGGTAAACTGATATATTTTTAATTTATTTTTGGATATAAATAATAGCATGCTTTTATACCCGGAAACTAAAAAGAAATTAGCATTACTATTCACACAAGTAAAGAAAACATTTATAAAAACAATTTTTTTTTTCAAATTTAAATTTATCTTATACTACTTCCAAACCTAACTACGGATCATTTATTTTTACAAGTAACTAAATTTTTTTCATTAAATTCCATTTTTCCCTATCCAGGTATATGAACTTTCGACTTGTAACTGGTTACCCATGACTAGCTAAATTTTAGGGAAATAACTCGAAATAATATTTAACGTGTTTTAAATATAGCTTAAAACATCTTCTAAAATGTAACTTGTAAACTTTTTACATACAAATTTTTCAAGTTACTAAAATTCTCTTATTTTTTAGGAAAATGTAACAAATTAACTGAAACCCGTTACTTTTTTTGTGATGTAACTGTAACTTTAGCAACACCTCTCATTTTTTACATCCACAAATTTTACTGGTAAATAAATATAGGATAGTTTACAAAAGACATAGTTTTTAATTTAAAAAAAAATTAATATATTCTTATAACTCAATTACAATTTCCTGAAATATTGTAAATAAAGATTACTTCATTTTTTGGTAGCTTAATTTATTGATAATTGTTTAAATTCTTATACATTATTATTTTTAAGCATTACTCTAGAATTTTGGATGATTACATAGATGAGGAACAGGATCATTTAGTTTCTATATGCTGTATTTCGGTTCAACTGTTTACAGTTCCTTCTCTTGTAACTATTTATTTTTTTGTTACCAAAGTAAAATCCTATCAAAAATATAAAAAGAGTATTTAAAACGAGGAAGGGATCAAAAATTGTCTTCCTTGAAAGGATACAAGCAAAATTTCTTGTTAGAAAATTTTGAAAATTCTGTTACTACTTATAACCTATTATTACTGTGATATATTATTTAGTTGCCGGCTTTTTTTTGGATGAATCGGATCTTTAGGATGCTCGGACAAACATTTTTATTTGCTTTATTTTTGATTTTTCCCGGAATTATTTTTATTCCACAAAATTAATAGCAAGCTCACTATTTTACAAAGAATATTTATATTTAGTTACTTAAACATAGCTTTGTTTAAAAGTCTTATTATGTCCTTTTTCAAAAACATAATGTTCATTCTTCAATCTAAATAAGCAGGGTAAAAGATGCAATGGATTTGTAAAAGGACATTATATGACTAAAAACGCTTATAAATTAATTTTTTAAAAAGACGCTTTTTTTCCTTTTTTTAAACAAAAAGCATTATTCTACCATAGCGCACGATTATATAGAAAGCGAGCATTGGTACGATGATTCTGTTTCAGATATATCTGTTCAGATTTTTACCACTCCCTCTATTGTAAGAATTATTTTATTTTTTTATGTTTATCTTAATTTAACAATTTTTTTTAAAAATAAATTTTTCTTGGGGAAAAAAAAGCAACTGATTTATGTTCTTTCTTTAAAAAATAATTATTTAATCCTAATTTTGATATTAAAATTTCCTTCCTCGTTTTAAGTTATCATAATCTAATTTATTTTTTTTTAGGATTTCTATATTATATATAAATAGTTATTCAGATGTAAGTATTATATTAGTTTTAATATTTTTTGAAAAAATAATTATATTATTTATTAAGAAAGCTTAAAATATTCTGACAGCAATTATTAGTTTTTAAAAGAAACATAAATTTTTATGTAATTTTTTAATTTAATTATAAGATTAAATTGATATAATAAATAAGAATTTATATAAAGTAGAAAAGTTATAAAATTAATAAGCCAAATGAATTTAAAAAGAAAAATATAATATTTTACAATGGCGGCTACAGCCCCACCGCAATATTATAGGATTGAAATAGTATTTATCTTAAAAATCCAATTTACATGGCATTAGGGTTGGTAGGTATGATTTAATCGAATTGATTAAAATCAATGATTTTCTTGAATAAAAATCTCGTTTTATCCGATAAGTTGTATTATTTGCTAAAATCCTATTAAAAAATAGTTTTAAATACCGAAGTAATCCTGAATAATTATTTTTATAATAAACTAATATACATTCTAAAAAATATTATTATTTAAAATTTAAGGAAAAAAAAATCTCTACAATTATTTCGGATGTTCTCCTTATAAAATTATTAATATTCAATATTTTGATTAAAATATATTCTTTAAAAAGCAGTGTTTGAAAAAAAAAATTTTTTCGCCCAAAATTTTTAATTAATTTTTTATTTTAGAAGATAGAAAAAAAATTATTTTTAAAATATTTGTGATTTTACGCAAAAGATATACTAAAAAAGATTATCAACAAAAACGATTTGTAATTTTAGGGTAAAATTTGATGCAAAATCTTGTTTAAGCATTCTCCAAAAAAAACTCGGATACAAAGTTTTATATATAATTATTAATTTCTAATTTATAAAAAAAAGATTTACCTTTTAATCTTAGATTTATTTAATATAAAAAATAAAATATTATAGTTAAATTAAAAATAAAACATTGCAAACCGAATTATTATTTTAATTATAATCAGAGATGCACTGTTGCTTTTTTTGGCAACTACCTGACAAAAATCCGGTATCGGTCATTACGGATATCTGTTACCGATACCAAGTTTTAAAAAAAAATTGAATATAATCATAATATATATATATCATAAAATATTTATTTTGAATATATAATTTAATGCCATACCTTTGAATTTTTAAACGAAGCTCGTAGCTCTTGATTTATTTTCTTACATGTTGTATTCTTCGCAACAAAGTATGAATTAAATTCAGCGACAAGAATTTTTTTAAAGTTAAAAAGCTAAATAGAAAAGGAAAAAAAATTAGCAAGACTTTCTTTTATTATTTAGTATAGGTTTTTAGGATGGTTACTATTTAAACATGTTAGGCAGAAGTCTAGTATTTTACCTTCGCTTTCTTTCTTATATTTTATCTGTTTAAAAAATTTGTAGATCGATTTAAAAAAAAATAAGAATTAATGCTATTTGGAGAAATCGTCTGCTTTTTAAAATGAAAGAAAACATAAATATTTTAAAATATGTTTTTTTAGCTTTGGGTCAGGGAATATATTTTTTAATGAATTTATAGTATAACTAGAGCAAAATAATTGCAAGAAAAAGAAGTAATACCCTTATTATTTCTAAATATTCCATTTGACAAGATAAGTTTATATATTTTGCTACTTTTTATAAAATGTAGTATTAAATTTAATATTTATATGGAATTAAGTAACTGGGAAGGGATTTTTAGTGCACTTTTTCTTATTATTCTTATCTATTTAACAAAGTTTTGTCGGTTTCCTTGCGAAAAAAAGGCCCGGCGCGATTATGTAAGGGTATGTTTTGCATATTAACGTGCGTTTTCATCAGGACAGGGCTTAAACCAACGTGCTACACATTACTTGTATCGGTTAGAATTGAAAATATCGGTTTATTTCAACCTGCCGGTTCACCTCTGATTATAATGTTTTTAATTAGAATAATTTGGGCAATATCAAATATTGTTAATTATATTTGGTAAAGTATTTTTTTAGTCAATCTAATAATAGCTTTAACAATATTCATAAAATTTCACTGGAAAAGAGATTTTTAATGTAATAAAATGAATGTGTTTAATTAATAGTTTTTTCTCAGTGTTTCCCGAGGAAAATATGTAAATTTTTTTTAATTATAATTATAACAGATGATTTAAATCAAAAAATTCTTTTTCTTACCAACCCTACCTGATCTGATATTCTCTCAAATTTATCATTTAAAACTTTTTTTTAATTATTAAATATGAATATATTTTTTTCACGTCATAATAAACAAGTCTCGATTTCTCATAGTCAATAAAAATGTATTAGCTGTTGTCATAGAAACATTCATTCGCGTGTGCCAACAATACAAAAATGGTATTTTTTAAATTTAATTTTTTGATTAATGTATGCCTACAATTTTATTATCATTTGACATTGCTTAGAAATGTTACAGAAATATTTATTTATAATTACTATGTGATTCTAATCAATCTTTATATTCTAAAAGCTGATGGCAAACTATCCTTCGACAGAAATCAACAAAATAATACATTCAGAAGGGCCCAATACATTTTGAATGATTTGCAGTAATAAATATCTTATTCTACATATAATATACAAATAATAATTAATATAAAATTTTATAATACGTCTTCATATTATGCGTGTCTGACTATATGTTAGGATCAACTAGAGCCTAGCGCGGGGGATATCCGAAGCCTGGTACGAACCTCGGACTCACACATTTATATTTTCGGACTCGGGTAGGACTGTAAGAGGCAGCCCCACCCGAAGCCCGATGTATACTCCCCCCCCCTTTTTTCCAACATAATTAACAATAATCATCGAGTAAAAAATACAATTTATTATTATTAATAACACTTTTAGTTACCTGATGATATCGCCTCCTAAAGAATCAGAATGGACTGAACAATTAAAAAAGAATTTTTTGAACGGATTCAATTCTATGATTAACCTTCTTTGCTCTTTACAAGTTTGTAAATATTACATTTTTTAAAAACTTTTATATTCATCAAATAATTCGAGAATCACTATTTTATTTATCTATTTAATATTTGAGCTCAAATTTTTGCATATATTTTTTTTAGTGGTTGTTATATAACTTAAAAATATAAACATATTTTTTTTATCAAACTAGAACATGGATACGGTAACACGCCAAATCGGTCAACACTTGGACTACGAACCCGAATGGGAGACAGCCTTTAACGTTATGTATAAATTGATCCCGTGTCTTATATCATTGGAAGAATGGATAGTTACGGACAAGCAAATTTTGATCAAAGCTTACATCAGAACTTGCAAGGCTATTTGGAGATTGAATAAAAAGTTTCGAAACACCCATTTTGAAAAATTAGTGTTTGGGGTGGGAGGGAAGAAGCTAAGCAATAAAATACTATTTATTGTGAATATATATAAACCATTATTTATTCAATTTTTTTTAAAATGCATAATATAATAGGTTCAAGATTGAGAATGTTACCCTAAAAACTTCATCAATTACTGCAATAGAAACAAACGGTAATAACGAGATTAAGGCAGATGCCATAAAGTACGATGTATCAGTACAGCCCGTGTCTGTTCATTTGCCAGTTACTAGGATGTTTGTAGGTTAGCCTTTATATATCTTATAGTTAAATACACTTCCATGTTAAATACACTTCCAAGTTATTTTGATGAATACTTGCAAAGAACACGTAAACATTTGAATATCAAGGCTAATTATAATTATTACAGGTGGTACATCTATTAAAATAGTGTCAAATTAATATATTATTTTTGAAATTTTTATTCATTTAAAATATTCCCAGATTCTATCAAATGGATATTTTTGTTAAAACTTTTGCTCACTTTGATTATAGGCAATACTGGGGTCATTCCATGTCAAATCAATCACTTTTCGGCCGACCCCTTTCGATTTCGATGAAAAATCGTAGGCTGGTTATATATGTTCCCATTAGATTATAAACAAAATTTTAGCGCATTAGCAACTATATTAGCGGAGATATTCGGGGTTAAAGGTCTAAAAAACGTCTTTTTTTGCTTTTTACTGATGTTAAATAACTAGTTTTTAATTTTAAACTAAATATGATCAAATATTGAATATAATATCAATAGCTAAGTTAATAATTGATGATTATGGCGAAAACATCAAAATTAATTTTTGATAAAATATGGGTCATCTTATGGTCAGTTGAAAACTTGAAATTAATATTTCGAAATGTATATGATCTCCGATTTTTAATTTTTTTAAGAAATATTATCCGTTTATTATTTTTTTAATAATTTCTTCAACAATTAGCAGGGCTTATTTATTTTAAAAAATATTGCGAATTTTATACTTTAAAAAAAATAGATGGCGCTATCAGAGTTGTTAAACGCTATTTTTAAAAGTAGCGCGCTACCGCTATAGCTATTTGCCAAAAAAAGTAGCGCGCTACCGCTTTCGCTATTTGTCAAAAAAAGTAGCGCGCTATTAGCTACCTTTTTTCAAAAGTAGCTTTAGCTACTTTTAAGCTACTTTTTATAAAAAAATTTTTAGAAACAAATGAAACAAATTTTTTTTATTTATTTTTTTGCTTATAATGTAAATGTATAATAAATAATATATAAAAATAAACATTTATAAATATAAAAATATAGTTAGTTTAGATTATAAAAAAATAAGTAATATAAATAAATATTTATTTTAATTTGTTGCATTTTAATAATAATATCATTTCAATATTATCATCCCCAAGTCTAGAGCGACGATCAGAAAGTATAAGCTTTGCTTTACTAAATAATCTCTCTACACTAGCACTTGAGGGCAAGGAAGCTCTAAAAATATTTAATCAGATCAATTTATAAATATAAATAAGTTTTTACCTTCTGTTATGTGTCCAACTATCTGCCGTGGTACATACATAAGATATATCTGATAACTCTACTATTAGAGCATCTTTCATCACTTTGAAGTTGTCGTCTATTTTATCCACAAGTGTCTGGCGACATAAAACTGTTGTGCCAGGGGATAAAGTTTTAATCATCATAGTAAATGATGGATTATCAACCAAGGACAATGGCTGAACTGTGTCAATTATAAAATCAACAATTACTTTATCAGCCTATTTTTGTGAAATATTGGCATGTTTATCAGTTAATTTGGTTTGGATAGTATTTGTCTTTTTGAATGAAGATTCTCCTATACCAAAATTTTTTATATGTTTCTCTATTTCCTTATAGCAATTGGCTTGAACAGTCTAATAAAATAAATAATATTATAATGTAAAAATAACAATTTACCTTTAGGTGTTTCTTCAGGTTATAGCTACTCGATTGATTTGATGATATATTTTTTTTACATTTTAAGCACAGGAATTTGAATCCAGATTTTGTTTTAATATTTATTTAAAAAATTTTTTCAAATCTAGGGAATGGGAAATCGTTATTAGAGTTATTAAGTACATTTTCTTCCATTGAATCTTCCATGTCTGAATCACTTTCAAGAATTTGGATATCCATGGGCGATGCCATTTTAGATTATTAACACAGATTGAAAATATAAATTAAAAATTGAAAATATATTTAAATTTCCAAATTAAATAATAAATTATAAAAATTATAATTAATTATGATATTATATTTAAATTTTCATGTTTATACTTACATTCATTATATTTTTTAAAAGTAGCGAAGTAGCGCGCTACTTAGCTACTTTTAAAAAAAGTAGCGCGCTAAAAAATTAAATAATTTTAAAAAAAGTAGCGGCTATTAGCTATAGCTACCAAAAAAGATAGCGCGCTAAGTAGCGCGCTACAAGTAGCGAGCTACTTTAACAACTCTGGGCGCTATATATAATAGTTTTAATATGTTAAAATTCATTTTTTTTATTGATTAAAAATATTTTAATGTATATATATCATACTAAATCGATTACAATGTCCATTATATATTTTTATTTGTAATTCAGATCATAAATTTTTAAAATCTTCACAAATTTAGCCTAATTAAGATAGTTTATAAATTAATTAAATCTTATTTCATCTAAAGGAATACAAAGCCTGGCTAGCTTGTGAGATTTCTTCGGGAGATAATATATATGTTTGACTGGTAGGAGTAGAAGGATTGACCAGCGAGAGTATATGAGATTTAGGCAACACTAAAATATCATCTTTCAGAAGAAATTTAAATGAGGCTGAAGGTCCACAAGGGTGTAAAAATTGGATTTTTACTTCTTTATTTATATCATTTTTATCGATTATATATCCTAACCACCACTTATCATCATATACACATGTTATATATCCATTAATATTTTAAAAATTAATTTTCTCATTTAAATACGAAACTTGTTTTATATTATATTTTTTGGAATTAGAATATATTTTGGTTTTTAGTCTATTTTGATCAATGGGAATAAATCAATGGGAATTATTTATAAATATATTGGCTAATCGAACATTCATTTAAAAATTTTATTTATAAATATCCCCTTTAACTACCTATTCCAATACATTCAGGCATATACATCCATCTTTTTCAATACGGCATGAATTTTTTCTCCCCCCAAGTCAATTACTGGATTAATTCGGATGAAGTATCATCGATAGCCAATACTAAGCAAACCATTTCGGATCAAATTGATCAATCAATAGTTTCAGCTGCTTTACCTTCTAGTACCGATAAGTGTAATTTGGTTGAAGACACTATAATTAATAAAGTATATTATATCAATTTTTTTGATATTTTTAAAATGCTTTAATATATTTTGAAATTTTACATGATTACTTTACTAATTTAATATCTAAACTTTTAATTTCAGATTAAATTAGAATTAAGATAGTGATTTGTAATTTAGAACCTTTTTTCTTTATCGAAGGTTAATATTAACTATATTATAAGTTTTATTCAATTAAAAACTTTGATCTAAAATGATGTTTGACTCTTTGTCATGGCTATCCCAAGCTCGTTGATAACATTCCACCCAATAATATAAAGGGACTACTTGACCATTGTACCAAAATGAATTTTATGTTATATAACCCTTATATCATCTTTAATCCCGAAATATAAAGGACTATTCCAAATTCCCCACCCCAATCGAGTTGATGGAATATCCTATGCGCACGCTCGTCCTCTGTGCCCAAGTTCAGGCCGGGATGTGGAGACGTAACGGTTACTCCCTATTAAATCAAGTGTACCTATACCACAACGCCAAATGGAGATCCCTTATGTACGATAGGGATATCGCTATGCTCCAAATAGGAACCTCTCTCAGTTTGGGCGGAAGCTGCAAGACTTTACAATCCAAACAAGGAGTTCAGGAGGGAATGCAAGAATATCGAGACCTTACAACGATGATTAGCAACAATCTAACGGAGAGAGATACGAAGTGTGACACTCTCTTGGTTTACTGGTCAAGCAAATATAATTTGATAAGTTTTTTGCAGGCGGTGTTAGATAAATCAGCTACCTTAAACATTAAAACCAAGCAAGATCCTGATTCAAATGCTGGAGAAGAGGAGTGTTCTGACAACACGAAAAGCAAGGGGTCTGATAATAATGCCGCGAAAGAACCAAATAAGGATAATTTGAATTCTTATTCTGCGTTCGAAGGGGACGAGGAGACTGTGAGACAGAATGCCGTTATGCTGGAAGAATTTCTGAGTCTCGTCATAGTCATTATAAGTTTATAAGACCATTTGTGTTTTTAAAATATATAATAGTATAAACCATGAATTATGTATATAGTGATTATTTTCTTTGATTATTATGTTATATGTGGTAATTTATCGTGCAATCATTGACAATTTATAAGAAATTTTAGATTACACCACACCTTGAAAGATAAAATAGCTTATTAATTTCTTTCAATTTTTTTCCCCCTCTACATTTTATATTTAAAAAACGATTAATATTTAATAATTAACTTCATAATATTTTAATATACACAAAATAAGGCGAAAGATATTTTGTAGGAATAGGCAAGGTCACCGATGAAGACATAATGGAAAGGGAAATCCTACATCAATTGTGCCTTGGCCCTATTAGCCATAGCGAATTGGTCAAAGCCCTCCCCGAAAATGTAAACCCTTACATTTATTTTTATAGATTATTTTAATATATTTGTTTACATATTGAGGTTTGAAAAAAAATGTTTGGTCAAAAATATTTTTTATTTAAAATTTTCTATTACATCTTAAGATTTTTATACATGAAAATTGCAAAAGATTTTTTAAAAAAAGAATTTACCATTTTTAGGAAAATTTGGGCAAAAATCACTCCTGAAAAATAAGATTTTTGCTTAGATTTTTTTTTCAAACTTTGCATATTGATGTCAAAATTATTACATATAAACAAACAAATTTTTAAAAAAGGCTGGTAAAAATACGTCATTTGAAAAAATTTTGGCCAAAATCGCTACTTTAAAGTAAAGTTATAATTCTTTTTTAAATATTTTTTTTAAATCATCCGTTAAATTAGTTTTGAATTTGTTTGTGTTGGTTGACGCTATTTTTGTCATTACCTTGACCAAATTTTAGTATAATTAAATTTTTTGTTAGTTCCTAGAGCCTAGAAATGGTGGATTGAAGTAAGAGAAATAAGAAATTTTTAGATCAACGGGCACTAATATTCTTCTTCTTCTTAATTTAAATTTAATCCGCAAAGTTATATCATATTACAATTTAAGGAATACTACGCAAATATATTACCTAATGTAAAAGAAAGAGGAAAATAATATATAATATAAGGCATTAACGCTATTTTTTTAAGACCCTTTAAATGATTCTAAATGCTTCGCATTTAATTGTTTTAAGAAAAACTACAGACATAACGGCCAAGACGAAATACGTCCTCAAAAGGTCATTCTATAAAAGGTATAATCCTTTCTTCTACCATTACACTAAATCTGAACAATCCAAAGCCGAGGAATACAAAAAGATCCGGAAGTGTGAAACCCTTCAAGAAAAGGGTAAATTATATAATACGTGTTTAAAAAAATTTTGACATATTTTAAATGTTTATTGAAATGTAAATTCTTCCAAGTACCATTTTAAATGTGAATAGTATCATTTTAAACTTATAAAATATCATTTATCTTGAATATTATCTTAACCTAGTTAGTATATAAGGAGTGCTGGTCAGGGAAATAAAGTGAATCCCAGTTTTTTTTTCTTCAAATTTTCTAAAACTATACAAACCAAATAAATAATTAATCCTATAAATTCTTATGAATTATCACCCCATCTGAGATTTTCTTATAAAAGATAAAATAAAACATTCCAAAGTACAAAATTGTCGCCCATAATAATATGAGTTACACTAACTCATCGCATCCTTAATATGACAATAATTTTTTTTTACCTTAATGGATGCTTTACAATAAATATTACAAATTATATATTTATTAAGCCTGCCCACCTCCAGTTCCGCCAGAATTTTTGCCGCAATTTGAAATAATTTCCGAATTTTTATGTAGCGATCTCTTGATTCGAATTGAATTATGTGTACTGATATGCGCTCACCACGAAGATTTGGCGGATACTATCGGTTCCAATAAATTGTCGCATTTCATCACCGATATACTCGTTCACGAAGTAATTTTATACCAAAATGAATAATAACAATTGTATATTGATGCCTTTTATAGCCAGGGTTTTACAACTCATCAAAATAAAAAATATTTATCCAGAATCTTCAATGGAAATTTTTTTATTTTTTAAGAATACTTACCGAAGCTTTGATTAAATTTAAAAGATTTTTGCGCAAAATGTTGGGCTCAGTCTTCAAATGTTCATTGAAGATTTTTTAATAATTAAACCCTATGTAAGAAGGGAAGGAAAGAAAGAAATAAAAGATAAATTATACTTAAGCTTTGTTTATTAATTAAATTCCAAGGTATTACATTTGATATGTCTTGCTTTGTATGAAGAAAAAAGACGGATAACCGAGTTTGATGACATCCACTTTGGTTTTTTGAAGAAGGCAAAATTATGTAATTAATGATACTTTTTACCTTATATTTATTATAGAGCAACTTATCTTAATACTAGTTTCAACTGTATTTTTTTTTTTTTTAAAAAAATCATAATTCCGATTTTAACTAGATTTTTTCCAAAAAATTTTTTAGTACCATGCTTTATAAATGAGATTTTTTATTTTCAGATGGGTTTTCTGATCATTTACGTTTCTTGGCGAAAGATGATCACAAATTTGTATCCAATCATTTCCTCGTTGCATATACATTATCCGTAAATTATTTATTACAATTTTAAAATGTAATATTAAGTATTTTAAATCATCAGCTACACCCAATGACATTAATACTAGTGATTTGCATTGGACCTAATTTTTCAAGCTCGGACCGAATTTTTCTTAAAAAAATTGTCCTACCTGGCTCGATTCTGAACGAAATTATTTTATATTTGTCCAAAAAACCCTAATTCAAAATAAAAATTATTTGTCCTCCCGGCCCGGCCTGAAAAATATTAGCGCCTTGTTTCCTGTAAGAATTTTAAATATATCAATTTATTTGACAAAATGTATCGATATCATATTAAAATAAGCCCGACCAGACCCGGCCCAATTATTTTCTTAAAATACACCAGGCCCAGTATCTGTTCGTGCCAAGCTCGGATCTAATTTTGCAAATCTCTAATTAATACTAATCTAGACCTTCAATTCATTTATTAAAAGTATATGCACCATTTATAGAAGTCAAATGTAGTCAATGACATGGTAGGCTCTATTGAAATACATTTCGTCAAAATGACTTTCACATGTACACTTATAAATGCATTTTTTTTAATTAATGAAACCGTCGGTCTATGTTAGTATAAATGTATTACACCATATACAGACACACTAGAGTCGAGTGTTATTTTTTTTTGGCCTCATCTAATAAGTGGTCATTACAGATATAAATTTTGAAATGTTATAGTAAGATCTCATTTTATGAATTTATCCTTAAAGTTTGTTATAAACCAATTTTGTCGAGTTTTTTTTTGTGCAAAAATTTTTATAATTATAATTATATTTTTATTGTTTATTTTTTCTTTAGAAATAAAATTAAGGCTCTGATCAACAATATAATTTTTTGAAAAATTTTAAAACAAAAAGAAAGATTAACCAATTAACTACTTTGTATTAAGGTGTAAAAAACATTTTTTTGAAAATGGATTTTTAATTTATCGCCACATATATTTTTTATTAATTCAAATATCAAACAAAAAAAAAATCTTTAAATTTCCTATTTTAATTTTTAAAAAATAATGTATACATATTTATATATATTTTTTTTTAGCTTTACGACGAAGTTACTAAAATTTACGACAGTAAAGTAACAAACGAGGATTCACTCAAAGAAGACAATACACACAATTTGATAGGTATTTTTAAAGAAAATGGCCAAAATTGTTTTTTTTTGTTAAAATTATTCTTCAACGCTTATGGTTTGGATAATTTATAAATACTTATCATTCGATATTAGAGAATGTTAGTAGATGAAAAATATTAGTTTCAAATTTATAAAATTATATATTATATCTTCTATCAAAATTATAAGTCAAAGATTTTGAAAAGAACATATTTTTACTATGCTGATCTAGGAATTTTTAACAATGCATTGTTATTAATGCTTTTATGCAGAAAATTCCAAACATTCAGGCCCATCTAATCAAACAACACCCATAACCTTAGCTGGTAGTAGTAGCAGCGAAACCCAGAGAAAAAAACGGGGTGAATTAGCCAAAATACGACGACTCAAAATCCTCTCCCAAATGAATAGGGCTCAAAAAAACTTCATTAAAGGCAATAAAGATCTATGGGATAGCATACCATCCAATTTAATAACAGAAGAATCGAAAGGTATATATTTAGTAATCTAATATTATAGCAAACTTGTTTCAATGTTTTTTTTTGAAACTATTTTTAAAAAATATTTATATGTATCAATTAGTAACCCCATAATAAAATTAATTTTAAAACCCTAGGGGACACCCCGTCAAAAACAACCGAGGATGTCATACCTCTCTCTAACTATGGAGAAAATATAGATGTTATGTTCGCCTCTGAGCCAGAACCCATTATAACTATCCCCGAGGATATCGTGATGAAAGAACAAAACGAAGCACCTAATAAAGTCATAAGGTTTTAATTTATCTATAGTTTAAAATGCACTTTCTTAAACCACCGCTTAGCAAAAAATTAGGAAAAAACGACAGATACACCTTCGCTTAGTTCAATAATTCATATAATCGTCAAATAAAAACTTATATATAAGTGATAGAGAGGGAAAGAGGGGATGACAATTTCATTTTGAAATTTAAAAAAATAATAATCTCTTTTTTATCCCACATTTAGCTTCAAAATCTTTTCGAAAGAAAGGCAGAAAATGTTAGCGATTCATAAAAAGAATTCTTCCATTCAACCCCTTCTTGAAGAGAAAAGTGAAAACAAATGTTACACATGCATTCTATGTCAAGAGGATCAAATTTTGAGTCTAACAAGTGAAGCGCTCGTCATGGCTGCATTCGTTCAAAAGTATTCTTTAATTTTTATTTTATGATTTCGATATTATATTTTGTAACACAAAATGAAGATATTTCTCTAAAAGTTTTTTTGATTAAACCTATAAATGATTATAAAAAGCATCATTATTTTTTTTTAAAAAGTATAAATTCTTTTAAAACTAAAATTTATAAAAACTAAGGGAAAAAAAATATAAAATATGATTTAGCCTATTCCCGTGAACGATGATATAATTAAAGTCCCTAAGGCATATATTTTGCTTGTTGACCCTTTATATGACTCACCCGTGTCATAAAATATGTTTCTTCTTAAAGTTTTGATTATAGAAAGAACTTCGTTGCCAAGGCTCACTAGAAAAGAAATGTCGATTAGGATATTCTGTAATTTTGAATATTTTTTTTTCCAATTTCTATGGTTAAATTTTGTTAAAAATTATATACGAGGAATCCCATATCAGGTTTCCAAAGATATGAGGGCTATACCAAGGTCTTTTTTATTATCATCGGCAATGAGCCCAATAGGATAAATGTTGACCTTTTTTAACGTTTTTAATAGGATAGGATTGATCCTACTCGGGAATGGCGCTCCCTTACATAAAATGTAAAGAGTAAGTATGCTTTTTGCTGTGATAAGGTCACTCCTATAAACACAAACAGGTGTTACAACATCGCAACGGAGGCGGAGAGCTATTATAAATCCCAAATCCGAGATTTGAACTAAGGATTAATTTTAGCCTTTCATAGGTTTGGGTTGCCCTCTTGAAGTCTATTATCAACTTAATTGATACTTACTAGGATAGGACAAAAGTCAGTGTTTAGTTTTAGCATTAAGCGAAAGTTTGTTAGCATAAGACGAAAGACAATTTTTATTTTCTTTAATTTTATTTTTAATATATATTCCACAACATACAATAATCTTTTAAAATAAAAAAATTTCGAATAAAAAAATATATATTAAAAACAATCATTTCCAAAAAAATATATTCTATTTATATATCAAAAAAATTAAATACATATATTTATCATGATATACTAAATAACTATTTATTTATCTATAAATATATTTTATAAAAAATAAGTTCTCCAAAATTTTTTTTACGTTGGTTCGTTGATCAGTATCCATTCCATCTCATTCTGAATTGTCTCTGTTGTTTGAAGATCCTCATTGAGTAGTCCCAATGTGAGCCGAGCGCACAGACTCCTACCCCTCGAAACCATTCGCAAATTCGTCCATTGTTGAGGAATCACCTCCATCTCTCCTCTTTCCGTCATTCTCATCATTGGTACTCTTGTCACAGGGCGCAAGACTGCCATGATTCTCCGGGGCGAGCCATTTTACTGCCACCTATCGTGTCCGTTGATCATCTACGTTGGGGACTGCACTATTTCACTTGGACACTCCACGGATTTGTGACCCAGTCCTCCCCATGTAAAACACGAAAGATTTAGTCTCGGATTGATTGACTGCGCGATGACTCGAATCATTCGGAGGCAGTAGTTGTTGATGCGGGCTCACAATGGCAATGTGGGTGAGGATCCTCAAACAGCAGAGACATTTCAAAATGAGATGAAGGAGAAGCTGATCAACGAACCAACTTAAAAAAATTTGGTAGTATATTATGATTCAATATATATATGTAGAAGGAGAAGCTGATCAACGAACCAACTTAAAAAATTTGGTAGTATATTATGATTCAATATATATATGTATTTAGTTTTTTGATATATATTTATGAGTAAAATTATGTTAAAAGGGTGAATTTGGTCTCTGGGTAGAATGGAAATGTTATAGTTGGTTTTTTTATATGTATCGGATTTTAATCATATATTTGTTTATAAATAAAAATATTTACATGTATTTTTTTTGTATTCGAAATTTTTTTACCTGAAAAAATTATTGTATTTTGTGGAATATATATTGAAAGTAAAAACTATCTTTCGCCTATCCTAGTAAATATCAATTGGGTTGATACAAAAATCGACATTTTTTATTAATAAACAAATATTAAAATCTAAAACATAAAAAAAACTCAACTATAACTATTCATCAGATAATCGAGCAATGAGATGGGCAATTAAAGGAGCATCCCAGGCTTTTTATAAGTATATTATGGGTCTGATCTTTCTTTCTTAGTATCCGCTTTTAATTGTTTAGGAACATTTCCTATTAATAGCGTATTGTGTATGATTATTCTATGCTTTTTTTATGATCTGGGTTTAAAAAGATGCAATTATGCTTTCGTCTCCCATCCTCTTATCTCACTACATTACAGACTCCTAAGCCTCGAATAACTTTATCAAAAACTGGGATATCGTTATATTTTTAATTTTGTCTATACTAGCTCTACCGTACTGAGACGCTTCAAATCTTCAAACGTTTTGGCGTCTAACTCTTTTCTTGACGATACCGTATCCATGTCCAAGGGTCCGGTGGCTCGGGCATGTGGTCACGTGATGCACGCGCGTTGCTGGCACCGATTTTATGACGCAGTGTCTTCCAGAGAACGTCGTCACGCGCTCCGATTTCGTTTTCACCACGCCACTTACGATGTCGAACGCGGGGAATATTTGTGCCCGCTTTGCAATACTCTCGGCAATGGAGTCATGCCAATACTTCCTCCTACAATTGCCCCCAAGAACATTACCATGACTTATCAGAGGTGATACAAAAAAATTTATATATGGGCAATTTAATTCTTTTAAAAATGATTGTTGGCAATATTTAGAATTTTAAACGTTATACACCGTTACGATTCATAAAGAAAAATTTTAAAGAGTAGAGAAACGAACCGGTTTGTGAAATTTTATTTATTTTAAAATATTTAAAAGTACAAAATTTATATATGGTTATGGTACGTTACTTAATTTGTTATTTCTTATAAGTTTTCCTTTACAATTCCAATTTTTATTTTCTCTTCACATTTTGGATTAGCGATGATCTTCCCGAAATCAGTATGGAATACTGGCTGAAAGTCATGAACGCCATAGTTCGAATGTCGGTTTTAACATCCGACCGAACCGAAGACGAAAGCTGGGTAGTGCAAACCGGTAAATTAATTTCTCATTTTATGCATACGGTCGAGTTATAATTGATTACACTGAGGAAAAAAAAATGTTATACGAGTTATTTTTTAATATGTTAGACAAAAAAAATTAAGGGCGCGCGTCCAACGTCAAAAATCTATTTTATTTTTGTAAATTTTTTTGACTTTGGACGCGCACCCTAAGTGTTTGTAAAGCCTTACCTGTTCACTTTGTTACTTTACGAAATAAAACAGAAAATAGCATTATTTTTGAATAAATTACATTTACATAGAAATATATGTATTAATAAAAGATGAAAGAAAAAATTCTCCATTTTTTTTTTAGAAATAGATTGCGCCTCCTGATTAAGATGCTAAACCTTTATTAACTATATCTTAATAAAATAAATTTTTTTTACTATTATTTGCAATGAAGGCTAAACATTCCACGCTTATGTATATATTAATGAACTTTACGAAATTATTGAATTCTAATGATATTATGCATATAATTTGTCTAGATTGGAGATACCTCTTGCGCACCAGGGATATAGATCAAATTCTTAAACTTTTCACCGACTCCGAACTGCCCTGCAAAACTCGGTTTAAATCGCTTTTGGAGCCAGGGAAACCGATTAACAAAGAATCCTCCGAAGAAAGTGACGATGATCTGAACGATTTTTCTGTCTCCATCCTAACCATGATTAAAACATTTAGCTTGACCATTTACACAGTAAATTTTTTTTTTTAAAAAATTTAATTTTGATTTATTAGCGAGTTAGGGTCGTATTAAGAGTATCCGATTTTAAAAATAGCTTTTTATTAATACATAATTTTAAAAAAAATTAATCAGCTTATTTTATTTGAAAACTTAAGTTATTATATATATATAATCTTATTAATTTTTGGAGGAATCTGACGAAAGTTTGTAAATTATAAATGGGGGTATGAAAATTGTTGTTTTTATATACACGTATATAGAATATTAATAGATTTTGAGTGAAGTGGGAATAGCCCAGTGGTTCTCTGGTAAGGTGATATCCATTTAACCTTATTTAAAAATACGCTTATATATCTTTCACATTATATAAAGTAGTTCAGAATAAAATGGGAGGATACTGAAAATACCAAAATTATATACCCCTCTAATAATGTTTACCAATCAATGGTTAGAAAAAACATGAGGAAATATGTAGACAAAAATAATGTTATTACTTTTGAATGTCTAAATCATCATATCGGAATTATTGTAATTTTTTAAAAAAAGGTTAGCCTAGACTTAGACCCCTATGAAGATAACGATCGTATTCCTCTCATGGCTTGGTATTGTTGCTCCTTCACGATAGCCGGCTTCGACTCTCTCTTGCTCTCCTATGGCAATATATCATTGTCCTCCCTCTGCAATCCTTCCGATTCTTCTACCGGTGCCCAACTTAAGCAAAACGATTCGAAGGTTTTAGCTGAACAGAGAATACCTGACAGATATGGCGAATGTTTGAGGTTCGCCTTTTATTTTCTTCTAGTCCCTTCAAGGGAGATAAAGTTTCTAGTTTATCTGTCTTAAAACAAAATACAATTAAATGGTATCACAAGAGTACCATTTCCCCTCACTCGTATTATTGGGCGTGAACATTTAAAAAAATATATATAAATAGGACTTTTCATTAATTAATCGGTTTTAATTATCTAAATTAGTTCATTTTTATTTACCTTTATCTTCTCCCTTTTTTTATATTTAAAATTGGCAAATTTAAAAAAATCATAAAATGTTATTATGATTTAGTTATGGTATCAAATACAAAATGAAATGTATCCTAAATTTTAAATCTTAGAATATTTTGGAGTACTAGTTTATGGATTTTAGAATTTCTATCTATACGTCACCTTTCTCTCGATCTTATTTATTTCTTGACTAATCTTAATGAAAATAATAATTAAATTGTATATAAACATGATTTATTTACTAAAAAGGATATCTTCATGCTTAGTAAAATATAATGATTAAGAATTTATTTAATTTTAAAATTTAAGTGGTTCTCAAAAAATGTATTTAAAATTATTTTGATGAAAATCGAAAGCTTTCTCTTACGGGTGCTATAGTTAAAACATCCTAAAAAATTTTAAAATGTTTATTAAATATATTTTTTTCTATAATATATTACGTTTTTTTTAAATTGTGACTAACAGCCCTATGCTAAGTGGAATAAAATTGTAACTTCCTTTCTTATAACTTAAGTAATTTTTGATTAAAAATAAAAATTATAAATTAATCTCTTTAAATTAATGAATTTTTTATTTATTTAGTTATACAAGAGTATATAAGGACAAAAAAATTATGTGATATTTGAGTAATTATTATAACTGATGAATAAGTTACAAAATTTTTACTTTTCTTATATTAATTAGTTAAGTATTTTCTAATAAAAGCTAAATAGTTCTGAAATGATAATTAGAATATGAGAAATGAATGAATGTGATATATCATTCTTACAATTTTTAAAATATGGGCTGGTCTAGGTTTATATTAAAGTTATTTTTTTCGGATGAAAAAAAATCGATCCGGCTCGGTTTTACTTTATAAAATATATACGGGTTATGGCCAGGTCTCTGGAATTGGGCATTCCATGAAGGAGAACTTGTATCTAACCACCTGATGCGATTTTTGTAATGGTTAAATTCATCCATTCAAAAAAGAACATCTTATTGATGCTTACAAATGGGGGATAGAATATTTAACACCCAATTAATCTCAATTAAATTTACTAGATAATTTTTTAATGAATTTATTCCTTGTGATTTTACAATTATGTATAATCAAAATAGGTTATTATTTTATTAACTAATAATAACCTTGGGGAGTTTATACTGCTCGGGAGTTAATCATATGTTTTTATTCAGACTTATTAAAAATTTGCCATATCTTAATCAATTTATACTCAGATTATTAGTCCGCTACACCAAGACTTTTACTTCAAAATGCGTTAAAAGACAGCTCGTGAAACACCACGCCCTGACCTTTTGCAAAACCATTTTTACTTTGCCCCATGTTTCGCCGTCGTGCGACAAAGATACCCTAGAAGGTTACTTTATTAATATTCATTTAAAAAAAAATTGTCTTGAAATTATTTAAATTATTTTTTAATTTTATGAAATTTACCCTGTGTCTAAAGGCTATTTTTATTAATTTTCGTTGACTTTTTCATAACAGTAACCCTAAAACTATTACATAAAAGTAAAAAAGCTAACGAAAGTTTAAGAAAAAAGAAACTTTGGGCATAGGGTTAATTATAAATTAAGTTTAATTTTTTTTTCCCTGCCCATAAATCACAGATAATACTAATTTGCCTCCTTGCAATGATCAAGATCCTGTCGACAAAGCCCATCAAAATTACTCGTTTCTGTTAGATTCGGATATGTTTTCATTCCTGGTAAAAAAATATATATAAATGAATTGTTTTTTTTTAAATATAAAATATAATAATAATATTATACGAAATAGTTTAAACCTTCTTGATTATAGAAAATTTATCCTTTTCAAATTTTGGAATTTAAGAAACTTTTATAATTAATTTTATATTGTGCTTTGAATTTAAGAAACAACTCTGGTTTCGTCCTATACTATCACTTATTAAATGATAACATGTGATATATATAATGCGGTAGGTTAAGATATGCCTATCCTGTCACAGCATATTTGCGGAAAAGGATGATTGCAGCGAGGATATTACGTGCCAAGCCGATTTATCAGATCATTTCTTCCTCAAACTACTCTACATAGCTCAAGTGGTTCAGATTCTATTGGTTTATCGACTCAAATCAATCGGCACATCAGAGGGAATCACGTCAGATTCGAACGTTACTGTAACCGATCAATTTAAGCCAAATAACGATGGAATAATAATAAATAAGGACAATGTTTTTACTGCGGAAAGCGATTATTCAGACGTTCCTTCCACATCCAAAACTGTATTTTGGGGTAGTTCCATTTTTTTATGGCATCTTTGATTACCTGAGTCGTTTATGTGGAGTTTTTCAAAAGGTTAGTTGGAAATTTAATTGTTAATTTACTATTTTTTATTTATCTATCTTTTTTTGGAAAGAAGTTGAAATATTCCAATACATTTCTATTTTTTTAAAATTAACTGACTTTAGGCTCCGACCAATAAAATTCTGGCCTAAAGTTCTAACCGTGGGTGGGGAAAAATTTCGGACCGAGTCGGACAAATTGTCCTCAATATATTTCCGGGCTGGGCCAATAAAAATAATTATTTTCTAAACTGAAAAAATGCTATAATCAATATATTTTTTTGAAAAAAAAAGAATTGCGTACTTATAAATTTAGAGTATTATTTTTTTTTGCGAATAATTTTTTTGATACAGAAAAAAAATGTATTGTTAATGTTTATATATAAATATATATATATATATTATAATAAACATAATAATATCATTAAAATCTTAAGAAAAAGAATCTCATTCAGTTGTGGAAGAAGAAATGGAAATCGAAGTAGACACCGTCAAAGATGAATCTATCAATGTAAACGACGATGACCATATGAGTGACGAAAATTCTACAAAAGAAGCCCATTTTATCCACCAACTTTGGGTTCAAATCAAGAAAATTGCCTCTGGACAAGAATACGAGTTTATTAAAAGAACCCCCCCCCCCCCCCCCCATATTTTTTTACATTTAAGATTTTTTTTGATACCTTCTCTTTGCTTCAAAATTAATTTTTAACTTTAAAATATAATAGACAGAAGCAAAAACTTTCGTAGAGTACTTGACTACTCCACATATAGCTTTTATTTAGTCTTATAATATAGAAATGAGGATGCCCAATACTGATGGGCAAAAACCGCGATCGGCCCATAATAAAAGGACTGGATCAAAAACTGTGTTTATTTTAAATATCATTCTTCTCTCTAATTGCTATTCACAATTTCGTACTTGGTCATTTGCATATTCAGGTCCATGTAAAGAGTTAAAATAAGAAACCATTTAACTTTCATTATATAAGCTCCAATCTCTTCATAAATATGTGTTGGCAAAAGACCCAGCGTTAGATGTTATACAGAATGGCTATGATTATCAGGGTTTAACATTTGCACAAAGTTCAAAAATCTTCAAAGATGTTTATTGCCCCAAATTTTTTTTACACAAAAACCTTCAATTTATTTGATCTTCAAAGATTTGGTTTTGGCACTTCGTGCTTTAAATGTTATTTTAAGTAATGACAATTTAGTTTACATAATTCATTTTTTTTAAAAACAGATGTGCCGATAATGAAGAGCTTAAAGAAATACGTTTACTGCGGCATCTTAAAATATCGCTGATTCCCTTTTTGAGGTGCAGCGCAATATTTTTTCACTTTCTCACGGACATACCTTTTCCCGGTGGTGTATTGCAAAATGGTTTTATATAAAAAAAATAATTTTTTTTGAACATGTTTCAACTCTTTGACGATGATTCTTTTTCAAACTCAACTAAATATCTTCCCATTTTTTCACTAGTAAAAATCGTTTGTTCCTCGTCCAATTTAATTACCAATTTAAAATGCAATTGCATTTTTTTTTGATAGGAATAAAATTATTCTATTCAAATATAATTTTTTAATGTTTTTTATTTGTATTATACTCTTTTTACGAATGATTATTTTTTTGATTTTATTTGCTATCCAGAACCAGTTAGCAACACTTCACCGAGTTATTTCGAAGCCCTGTGCGACTACTTAGATATCCCGACTTCTTTCCAGATACTATTTCAATCCGGTAGTTACCGAATAACCGATCTCATAAAATCCGTCTGGCTTAAACACCCTAAAATAACGGCCTTGTTCTCTTCTGAAAGTCGCAAAAATGCAGAACTTAGTGATAAAATTGACTTATTAGCCAAGAGGAGAGATGGAGAAAAATCTTCCAATTTCGTTATAAAGTTTAATAAGCTTTTTTTTTTAAATTTAAACGTTTACTTAATTTTTTTCCCCTTATATTTAATCTAATAAGACAAAAGACTAAGCTGAATTTGAAAAAATGTAAGATTTTGGGCAGAAAATCTTTGAATATCACAAAATTTAAGTATCATGATTTTACAGTAGAAAATTTGGATATCCTGCTCATTCTCATAAAAACCTTTGAATATTTTTTTATTTTGTAAGGCATTTCAAACTGCAATTAAACATATTCAAATGGGAGGGTCATAAACAATTTTTTTTTACAAAAGAACTGGGGGCTTTTTTGTATAGTCTATATCTATATTAAGTTTAAAAAAACTCTTAAGAATCACAAATTTTATTAGAAATAGAATCTTATAACAGTATTTATTTATTATAATAAACGGTAAAGGATATATATATATATATATTATGATAAATTTAGACCAATAAAGATTAGTTCGTACGTTCATTTTTTTGAAACTGAATTTTGATTATTTTTAAAAACCAAGGATTTTGCTGAGATACCCAGGCCCCCGCCCCTAGTTATGGCCCTATCTAGAATATTATCTACTTTAATAATAAATATAATGAAAGTCACGAGCCCTTTATTTTGTCCACTTCTTAATTAAACATTTTAAAATAAAATAATAAATAGTTATCCTCTAAAAACCCCGTCCTTGATCCGCCTTCCCCACGATTATGCCGACCTTATATTTTCCGCGGCGAATTTTGTATGCCCTAATGCCTCCGCATCGGCCGACAAATCACCTAAAATGGCATCTCCCAATTCTTCTCGAGCTCCCACGCTTTGCCTCGTGTGCGGAACCGTGCTTTGTTCCCAGAGCTATTGCTGCCAAACGGATATAGGCGTTCTCGAAAGAGGGGAGCAAACAAATTATGACAATTTAGGAGGTATCATTTTAGGTGATAATTTGAATCCCGATGATAATGAAATTCCGGAGGAGGAGAGAGGAGAAAGAACAAGAGATGTTCCTAGAAGGGGAAATACTAGAGGTGTGGTTGTAATTAGGGAAAGGGAGTCTAGAGTGGAAAGAGACGGAGGTGGAGCTGTGGGAGCCTGCGCTGCCCATGCTTATCGATGCGGAGCTGGAACCGGGATATTTTTGAGGTATCATTTTTTTTCTTCCTTTTTTAAAAATATGTTATGCTTATTATTTGAAAGTTTGAAGAAAGAAAAAAAAATGATGACCAAGATTTTTCTTCTTATAATATTCTTTATAGTGCTACTGCTACCTAAAGAAAACCAGTTTTCGTTTTTATTAATGTATATAAATTTTGATTAATTTGCATTATACCATTTGAAATGCATTATTTACGTTTTGCACAACGAAATTCAAACGCTCAATTATTCGCACAATTAACGCATTTTTATTAAATATTTTTTAACGTTTTTCCTCTTTCGTAATCATAATTTTAATTTTACTTTTTGAACATTTCTGGGATTGATAGAGAATTAGTAGTATAAAAAAAATTCGTTTGAACTCACCTTGAAATTTTGTATACAATTCTTTGGAATGTAATTGCGAAATTGTTTTTTTTTAAATGTTGTATCCTTCTCGTAGAATCAGGGAATGTCAAATACTATTTCTGAGCGGACGAACAAAGGGCACCTTCTATCCATCTCCATACATCGACGCATATGGTGAAACTGATCAGGGATTGAGGTTTTATTTATACTAAAATTCGATAAAAAAAATCAAATATTGAGAGAAGGCCGTGGATAAAAAGGGATAAGAAGATTCAAACTAACCAGCCTGACCGAGTTCCGGTAGAGTTAAGGCAGAGAAAAAAAATACTATTTTACTAATGATAAAATTTATTTTATGAATATTGGAAAACACTTTTTGAAGGGGGTGGGGATAGTATATTTTTTTTGTAACAATGTAAACATTATTTTTTATTTAAAAGACGCGGGAATCCTTTGTTTTTATGTCCGGAGCGTTACGAAAATTTACAAAAGATTTGGCTCAGCAATTCAATACCCGATAAAATAGCCCGTTCCTTAGAAGCCAATCCAAATCTTTTGTCTATCGATTGGCAGCATTTATAAAAAAAAAGAAATTTCGGTCATACCCATTCTTTTGCGTATATTTTCATAAAAACTTTGGAGGGTGAAAGCGAATTATTTTTCTCTAGTTAAAAAAAACAACCTATTTATGTCTTAATTAAATTTTTTGGAATGTCTTAAGATAAAATTTAAATAAAAAATATTTATATTTGTTATTTATTCATATTCAATTGCACGGTATGTCTCCTTGAATTGATAATTAATTTTATCTGTCCAAAAATTAGGGCAAATTGTATTTTTTTATGTATAAATTTCAAATAAAAATATTTATGCTGGATTAAATGAGAAGGTATAAAACGCGCCTTTAAATTATGGATTATAAAGAATGATTTTTGCAACAAAGATTTAGTTAATTTTTTTTACAATAATTATGATTCTATGTTAATTAACTAAAAACCTGGGCATATTTTATAATATATATACCTAAATTATTTGATGGTACCATTAAGTTTTAACAATTTTATTTTTAAAAAGCATTTTTTTTCTCAAACTTATTGAATTTTATGTAATATATATTATTTTCGTTATATTTTTAGATATATCTAAATTAAATTTTTTATCGCTCTCAGATAAAAAAATTTAAATTAAATATGCATTATGTAAAATAAATTGAAGATTTTATAAGAGTGGAAAAAAATATATATATAATAAAAAATGTGTCCGATGTTTGATTTAATATTTTTTTGTAATTGGTATTGGTAAGAACTAAACTGGAGACAAAACATACTTAAAAATTTATAACTTAATTTTTACGCACTAAGAAAATAATAAAAAAAATTATTTTTTTAAATAAACACATTCTTACAAAATAAGTGAGTTATAAAAATGATGGTGATATCGAAAATTTTGCCTTCAGATATTGGTAAAATACATTTTCCATGAGGATTGTAATAGTAATAAATTAAAAAACTGTCTATTTTTCATCACTAGTAAGAAAAGAACTCATTTGTCAGATTCTTAAATTGTCTGGCCAGAAATTATTTAGCTCAGTTGCGCAACAACCAATAGCGCTGCAATAGATTTCAAATTTTTTACAGGCCCATAAATCAAAAAAATTAGCCTTCTTCATTATTAAAGCTTACAGGCCCGCAACATCATCACATCACCTGAGTTATAAAGGGCCAAAAAATTGTTTTTAAAACATTTTAAATTTATTAGTTAAATCATAATTCATTTAACCCTTAAAAAATGATTATCTAAAAACATTTGAAAATAAAATATTATTAAAATTTTTTTTTTATTAAAGTGATTATAAAGGTCGTTTTAATATAATATCTAAAAAGTTAGAAATTAGCTTGTTACAAACACAAAGTATTTTCGGGTTTGTTTCTTAGATTTTACAAATACAAAAGGGAGAATATTTTAAAGAATATATATTTTGACTTGAATTGGGATTGGAATTTGAGTTACAAAATATATATTTGTTTCATATGGTATGATATCTAAAATCGGATTTCGCGTTTGCGTTTGATGTAGTTTTCCTCTATTCCTTGGTTAGTTTTGTTATCGTTCATCTCTCCTTTGATTTCAGAGCTTAGGGTAGGATTGCAATACTCTAAGCATTCTTTTTGGCTAAAAAATATGTTTCCGTTACCATGACATCCAGTAAAATAAAATTTTTTGCAATCTTTGACATTTCTCTCATAGTACCACATCTCCATAGATAAATGACATTTTCCTGGGTCAGATGACATTTGGCAAACATCTGAATATAATTAAGAATATTTATAAAAATCCATAATATTTTAAACTTATTTTCGAGCTCAATCTCTAACTACGATATACAATTTTATATTTAAAAATATTTTGGGATTTGCCACGTTATTGTTTATTTAGTTGAATTTGCCTGACACTTATCTAATATTTTTAGATTTTAATACCTTGATCTTTGAAGGTTCCACACTTACGTTCACATTCTACTCTGGATAAGAAATGATTTTCGTTTTTATCACACCCGGTGTACTTGAAAGCCTGGCATTTTTGACGATAACTGTTGTAATAATACCTTAAGTGAACTTCGTTGCAAGTCCCAGATTTTAAAGCAAGGTTACAGACCACTTTATTAAAGGTAAGATATATCAAGAGAGAACCATAATATTTATTAAAATTATTTGATTATATAAATGTCTAACAATATTATCCAAATTTATTTCAAGGCAAAAGTGTAGTTCAAGTTAGGGATTCCCCCTTATTGAGTTTATATAAGTCTTCCTTTAAATATCAACCACAAGAGTTAACAAAAAGTAACATACCAACTAAATACTTAATTAATTTGTTGGTAAAATATTATAAAGCGAAGTTCCGATAGTGAATATTAGAAGTTCGGCAATAAAATTTTCCATGATATTTATGCATGTTTTCGAAATCACTATCTTTATATAATTTAAAAAAAATTATGCTATATCCTCTCTAAAAAAAACGTAGCCCGCTCCAATAACATTTGTCTTAGGTAAACCCCCCCCCCCTAAGGAAAATCTGTCCATGCCTATTAATTGTTGACATAATTTTTTTTGTTTGTTTTTAACTGCCTCATATTTTAAAGATGGAAATTTTAAGAAAGGAATTTCGATATATGATATACCATTTTCCTGTTCTTGTCTTCTTTGCACATATTTAATTGGCAAGGAGCAAGCATTTTTGCAGTGTTCTTCTGTATCAAATCTTAAGAATTTTTTTTATAGAACAGAAGGACAATCAAAACTAAATATAAATTTTTAGGGTTTTTAATTAAAAGAAAATCATTTTGCTTTCTTCCTAATTTTTCTCCACCTTTATTTCTAATTATGATAACTTAGAGTTATTTATTCATTCTAAAGATTCATTTAATTAATTTTAAAAAACTTATGCCTCGTTTGTAGTCAACGCGTAATGTTCAAGCGGTGTGGTATTTAACCCTGCGTTTTACAAAATCAAGCCAATATAACTTATACATATGGAACGAAATGAAAAAGTTATGATTTAATTTGAAAAACTTATGTAGCAACATATATTTCAAATATTATTGTCGCGGTGAGGAATCAGCTGTAATTTCGATTGCGTTAAATACCGCCGCGCATTAACAAAACACGTTTACTATAAATGAAGCATTAGTTGAAAATAAATTTTTTTTTGAGAAGATAAAATATGAAATAGCTAAATATCCAGAGTTTGAAAAAAAATCTTTGAAGTCTTTTTTTAAGAAGAGTTTTTGATCAAAATTTACCTAAAAATGACAAAATCTTTTGTAAAGTCTCTTGCAATTTTCATGCATAAAAAAAAGATTTGCTCAAAGATTTTTTTTTTCAAACCCTTGTCTATATCATTTCGCCTTTTTATGATGCATACATTAATTTGAACATTATACTACATCTTTATCGACATTAGACAATTTCTTAGATCGAAAGAAGTATATGAAGCTTAAATTAGACAGATTTTCCTGAATTAAAATGGGGTTACCGATTGTCATTGCCTTTACAACCACCATAATAAAATCTGCGGCAGGATTCTGTTCCTGAATCGAAGGTCCATTTGATGGAAAAGTCTCTGCATGGGCCTGCTTCCGTTTTGAGATCACATACTTTTGTTCATAATTAAATAAATATATAATAGTTTATTTTATTGCGTTTCAGAAGTGCGAATATTCTAATGGATCTAGGATTGGAATTTAAAAAATAACTAGAATGAAAAAAAAGTTCTTCTTAACTCTAAAACAACAGATATCTATAAAAATATCTGATGTTTATAAATTATAAGATAGTTTGTCTATATGGTAGGATAATATTAAAATGATATCTAACTCTAAACATGAACTATTTACTACAGTTCTTACATAAACAATTGGGGTAGGCGTTAGGGGACTTTTGCTTCCATATATCTTTCAAAAGTTAGACCTAATAACAGAGTAGGTAGTGAAAAATATGGGAAGGGGGTGGTAATCTAGGCATGTTGTTTCAAATAATCCCTGCTTACTTATAAAATGTATGAACTAACTAACCAAAACTATCCATTTCTACAGTTGGAGCTTGCGTGACTTTTGGTGGGGGTGGTCCTATGACAGGTGTATGATGTCCAACGTCTTGTTTAATTTGAATACAGGCCCTTTGACATTCGTATTCATTATCAAAGCTTTTCCGAAAAAAACAAGATTTTATAAATTAAGTGTCAAACCTTGTATTGTTTTAATTTATCGAGTTTTTTTTTGGCGCTAGAATTAGGTTAGGAATTTATTACGCAGGCCGGGCCAGACTTGAAAATATGAAACTCATTCCTGGCGGAAAAAATTTTTTCAAAAAAAAAACCGAAGGGCCGTACAAATGATATCTCTGTAGGTCTCTGATATATATAATTATATTCATTTTTAATATATATTGGTAAATATGAGAATGGAATGCATAAGAATGGTCCGAATAAGTGAGATAATAATTATCTGTTTGTCGAGTATTATTATAAGTCAGCTTAGTATAGAATACTAGGCTATTGTACTACCATTTTACATTACATTAGTAGCTATCAATTATTAGAAATCTTTCAGGGGACAAAGCCTTACATAATGTCTAGTGTTTTTTTACAACTCAATAGAGGATGGCAGAGCCGAACCGACCAGTGAAATATTTTGAGGTGGGTAAATTTTTTGACCAGCCTACAAAACAATTTTCTACTACTTGCACCAACGGAACATAAATCTGCCCAATTTTAAGTTTAATTTGTCAAACTTCCACGACCCGTAAAATAAATATTGAATAAGTTGTTCCGAGCTGAAAATTGTTTTGGGCTGGGCTGTGCCGACCTCCGCTACTCAAACATCCGAATATAACCAGAGAATAAAATTGTAGAATTGAATTAAATCAAATTTTCGCATATCTTTTTCAAAAAAAATTATTTTTAAAACTTATTCTTGTTCCCAACACATCCCCCATAATAAAATTGACGACATCTTTGATTCACTTGATTGTAGTGCCATTTAAGCGTATAATTGGAGCAAGGTCCGGCATCCTGATTTTGCAAACAGGGATCTTAATAATAAAAAACCATAACTCAGAAATAAAATATTTGTAAAGTTTTAATCAAGGAACAAGAACAGGCATTTTTGCGTTCCGTTGCTAATCCGGCAAAAAAATATGTTTCAGTTCCATATTTCGGATTCGGAAGGCGTTCCTGAAAAAAATATTTTGTCTATCAGAAACCCTAATTATGAAAGCACAAAATACGTAAACAACATTTTTATATTTTGTTCTCGTTCAATTTAAAAATCATATAAAAAAAATATTAATACTCCTAATAGTTCTTTCTAACAGATTATCATTTTAAACGAGCATTTATTTTTAAAAAAAATTCTTTTACATTAAATTATCATTTGATTAAAAGTCAGCGGAATATCTATAAAATTAAAAATGTATATATTTTTTATGAGGAATTTAAATTATATGCTCATATGAAATAAAATGAATTTTGCTTTCAAATATTTTATTTTTAATATAAAAAAGCGTTAAATAAATATAAAAATATATCTTAAGACAATAAAAGATACTGATACTTTTATAAAGGAATATCTAAATATAGATACCTCATTTTTGTATTTAGATAATTTCACGCTGATATTTTTTAAAGTATTTAAAAAAACATATATTATCATAACTTTATTCGCATTTCAATATAACTAAAAATCACAGTAAATAAACATATAAAATTTCAATATTAGGTTAGAATTGAAATGCATAGAATACCTCTTATTAGTGAAGTTAATCTTTTATCGACCTTACATCAACCATATGATGATTTGATTAAGTAGGTACACCAACAGAAAAAATAATATGAATATATTATAAATAAAACAAAAATAGATGCAACTGTCTTCAAAATTACATTTTTATATAAACATTTGGTTCATGCATAGCCTATCATTGTGTTTAACTTGGAGCCTTCTAGTTCAATGTTTAAATTTCAAAACCGCCCTCTTTTTCTTGGGGGGAGGGGGGGGTTTATAAATAAACGTATGAAAAAAAATGTAAATTTATTGAGCGATGATCATTACAAAAAGAGCGATTTTAAAATTTTGTAGGGATCATACGCACAATTTAAAAAATGTCTATTTACCAACCGACATTTTGTTACTTTTTAAAAAATTTATAAAATATTTTGAGCAATATTATTTATCGCTTGTAAAACTAGCAATTTTGAAATTTAACATTGAACGCTCTAGTTAGTAGGCAGAATCTCATACTATAAAATAGTAATATCTATCCAATTATTAACAGCTATATCATTTTTTTTAATAACTCCTGCCATCAAACGACAACCTGAGACCGGTATTACATTTTAACCCTTCTTAAACAAGTCTATAAAATAATATGTTTAAAAAAAAATATATAAAATGAATTATATTTAAAAACAAATACAAACTTATATCAATTATGGAGCCTTCTGCGGCCACCTGGCTCATTATACAAGTCGTTTGGCATTCTTCCTGATTTTCAAATATGTTTTGATTGCCTTCGCACCCCCCGTACCAAAATCGGTTGCAAATAGCGGCCTCTTTGTCATAATACCATTTGACCGTAAAATTTCGGCACCTACCCATATCTTTGGGTAAATAACATAGCCTATTTTCTTGATAGTATATAAAATAATGATGGTTGAGGAAATGTGTTTTGGGCGATAAATTTAAAGGATGTGATTATTTCTCGAAATTTATCTCCATGAAATTCGTTATAAAAAAGATAATTTGATCTTTTACAAATGAAATTTATAATAAAAAAATAATAATAATAATTGGCGATAGAGGAAGGGGACGCCACAGTCTTTGAGAATAAATGAGCTAGTTTTGTTAAACGGCTCAATTTAGGCTGATTTTTAAAAATGGCTACCTTAATATTTTTACCAGAAAAATATTACGCAAGCCTGAAGATTTTTGGCTAAAAAGTTAGCCATATTGAAAATCGGCTCAAATTGAGCCATTTAACAACACTGAGTCAGACACTCCTAAGACAAGAGGAGGTAGGGGTATTATGACTATTCTTATCTCTTCATTTTAACAAAAGTAAAACCGATATGATTTTATATTTTTAGTACTTTTTGTCATTTTTTTTAAAAGTCTGCCCACCTTATTTTTTTTTAGACTGGCCTCGGGCCGACTTATAAGAACAACGGGTTCCTTCGTTTTCATTTTATAAAATTTATTTTATAATTGGAACATTTTTTTTTAACTTAGTCACCGATGTGAAAGGGGGGGGGCAGCGACCCATGACTTGAAATTGAGGTCAGAGATCTAGCCGTATTTTAATTTATATATGCAGGCGCCCGGCCAATCCGGGCCGTGCAAATGGTACATCTGGAACTGATTGAGGTGGCCTTGTTAAAAAAAAATTATTGATTGAAAGTTTGATTTATATACTCACGAGGTCTAAGTTCCGCTGAGGATATGAGGGTATATGCCCATAGCCATAGAAGAGATACGAATAATTTTACAATTCTTCCCATTTTAGAATTGGAATTTATTTTATTTTTCAAAATAATACAAATGTAATTTTGAGAAGAAATCGGATATCGGTGATGTTACAAAGTTATATGATTCGGATGTATTTTTTTGTTTATAAAAGTAATAAGCATTTTGGAATGAAAGAAAAAAAAAATTTAATCTTGAGACTATTTTCAGATTATTTTGTGTGAATTACAACAAAAAATGAATTGTACACTGGAAAAAGATTTTTTATTGTAGGAATAAAACGCCTCTTCTTCCCTTAGAAAATTGATTGATTGATTTTTTTTTAAAATATAATGGTAAAATTTATAAATATTATATATTTTTTTGATAATAAAGAAAAGATCTTCGGTTTATAATATGTATTATTTTTGTTATATCAATATGATGGGAAAAATTCTAATAAAAATAAAACCAATTTATTATTAACGAAATGGAAAAGGGATTGTATAAAAAAAATTTATTTAAAAAACACATTTTTATATGTATAATTTTTATATTTTGATTTTGATTATTTTAGATTATGTTTAATATTGTAAAAGTAAAACAGAATTCTGATAAATAATAAATCTTATAATTTTTTTTTGGTATAATTTCTTGTATCGGTGAAGAAATTAAATATTGCATTATTCGTGTTCCTTCCCCTCAACTAGGATTTTTTTTTGCCATACAGCTGCTTCTATTAATGGCTAAAAATATATTATTAATTTTTAGATAACATAAAAATAAATTTAAAAAAAACTATTTTTTTATGTATTGATTTTGATAAGGATCATTCATTGATCAAATTTATTTTTCTATACATAATCATATTCATAATTATAATTTTCAAAAAATTGAATTTTAAAATCATTAATTTTTTAAACTCAAAAAAAATAATAATGCAACTGTGAAACGCTATAAGAAATTGTTGCCTAATATTATTTTTTCAAGCTGACCTGGTTTAAATTTTTTTAATGGGCCGGGTTTGGACGGGTTTATCGATCCCCTAGCCCCTTTAAATGTTAACAAACTCTTTGAATCAAAGAGCTGCCTAAAAATAAATAAATATTCGAAAATATCTAATTAACATATTTTGATGCCTATAATCTCATCTACATTAGTCACATTTTGGTTGCCGTGCTTTAATCTTCTTTAAAGAACTAGGTTCACATTAGCGATCTGTAAAAACGGGCCGAGTCTATTTTTAAAAATTATTTTGATTAGGGCTCGGGTTGTGCCTAATATTTTTTTAAAAATTTAATGGCCGGGTTCTTAATTTTTAAATATGATATCATTACGTTTTATGGTCATTATAAAAGAAAAAATTAAACTTTTCTATATTTAAATTGGGGCTGGGCTGACTAATAATTTTTATCTCGGGTCAGGCTTTTCCGGACAAATAAAAAGAAATTTTGTTCGGGGTCAGGCCGGGCAGGACAAATTTTTTAAGAGAAATTTTGGGCCTGACAAAACTTGAAAAATTGGGCCCGATGCAGATCACTAGTTGACATATCCGTAAAATTACTGATGATTCAAGGGAAGATTTTTTCTTCAGACAAAGACTTTCCATCACCATTAATAAATCCAATTACATACGTATCATGGAAAACCCCCTTCCCAAGGAGCTAAGATAATTTTTTTAAATCCCTTTATATATTATATATATATATATTATTATACTAGCTTTGCTTTCATAACTGGTTTAGATTCGAATTCATTTATTAAATATATTTAAAATATAAATATCTAAATTCTCTAAAAAATTCTAATACAAATACTTTGAAGAAAACTTTTTACACAAATGAATACTATCAATTTTATTAAACTTAATATTTTCACCAAATATTTTAAATTGTCATTATTTGCTATGAAAATTAAAAATAAATTTAATATATTTTTAAAAAAATCCGAGCCGAGCATTGTAAGTAGCAACTCTGGCTAATTGATAATTGTGTTGTGATAACCAATTATAACATCTATGTGTTATATTTATGTGGCCCATAATTTGCATAAAAAGCAGAGTTGTTGAAGTATTAACTGCTGTATCAAGATACATTGGGCAAGTATCGGTATATTTATCTATTCATTTTTATTTTTTAGTTATATAGATATCTGTCATATATACATTTTCGATACAAGTTCTGATAATAAATCCTATGTTTTGTATTAAATGATATTATATTAAATATATGTCCGAGTTTAGATATTTAAAATTACAACTAGAAGAAAAAAGACATAGCTTTTAGATGATAGGTGGCATGGTAATTATTTTTTTAAAATTTGACTTAGATAATTGATATTATTAAGCCATTTTAGTAAGGCGTTACTCGTTTCTATTTTTTATTCCAAAGTGGCGTTCCTTTTGAAAGCAAGTCGAGTTTGCCTAATGATCCAAAATGTTTTAATCTATTTTTATAACTAAAGTCTTTAATTCCTTCCATATTTGATAATATGATGGATTTATCCGGGGCTTTGTTTTTGAAATATGAATCCCCCATTTCAAAGTCGATTTATAGCTCGTTGAACTGCACGAATATTTTTTCAGGAGTCTTGGTGTATTTTAATTTTTCATGGCTTGATTTTATCATATAAGATCCTTTTTTTCAACTCATAAAATTATCAATTATTCTCTGTATTGTTACAAAATTATGTCGGTTTTTATGCAAGGATTACAAAATCTTGTTACTTAGAAAATAAAAAAATAACGAAAATTTAGTTGGTAGAGATGGTAGCAAAACCGCCCTATTTTTTTTTTCCAGGCTAATGACTTTTTTGGCAGCAAATTATTTCTATCTGAGAATAAACTTTCAACAAATAGTAGATAAACTTTTTAATCACATCATCTGTCAGCTAGATAGGCTGGATATCAATAAAAAGAAATGAAAAATGAATAAATTTTATTAAAAAAACTTTATTAATTTTGAATTCGAATAAAAACAAAAAATTATTCGAAAATAATATTTTAACTATTCGAGTTAATATTCTATTTTAATTATTTGAAACTAATTTGCGATTCAGTCTAACCTCTAGTGCTTTATATGGGGATGGATAAATCGGTGACTACTTTAAAGGTAAATACTCTCTTAAACACTATTTCGAAACCAATAAAGCGCAGCTACAATATTTAGAAATTATTATAAATTCAAGTAGTATACATAAAAACATCGATGCATTAGTGAGTGTTGGAATCAGTAATTTTCATAAGGATTTATTTTAAATATTACGAAAGAAAATATACAAATTCTGCCATTTTGGGTTTTAATTTTTTCGCGCATGGAATAAATTAATAAAAATAAATTAAAATTCAAACTTTTAAATTTAAAAAATTTTATTTTTTGAAAGATATTATATAATAAAATATAACCTTCTGTTTGTGAGCTATGTTTGCGAGGAATGATGATTAATTATATAATATTAGTCAATAATATCCTTGAATTCAAAGCAATCTGTTTTGCTTTCAAGTTATAAAAAAAACAGAAACTTGCAATTTTTCTTTTAAATGTGTTAAATCACTTTTGATAAGAAATAATGTTGTTAAATGGATGATTTCGCGGATCTTAAATTGAGAGTCAAAATAATATTAGGTAAGTTTTGAGGTTTCGCTAATAGATGTCCAAACCTTTCTGTCATCTATGAGTAAAATTTCCAGGCTTGCAAAATATATTTTTGGATAAAATCTTGGGTAAGCCGTTTAAAATCGAGTTATTTAACAAAACACTAATATGAAATATCAAATTCATAAAATTATGAAAAAAAAATTTAAAATACAAAATTGATTATTGTCATTCACATTATGAGATAGAATTTGGGGGAGGGGGGGGGGTGGATAAAATACTTTGTGATATTTAGAGATATTGAATTGTCAGCTCTTCATGGCCCCTTTAAAATTTCCTGCATGAATGAGCATCGATGGCTTCCTGTTAGAAAAACAAATTTCTCTAAAAAAGGATGAATAATATTGCTTTTTAAAAAAGATGCTTGCGTGTATATAAGGAAGAATTTATGAAGAACAGTGATAAAAGAAATTTTTATATAATTATTATTATCGCGAGAATCTAAGAAAGATTCTATCCTGGATGACCCAAAAAAATTTACCATTCAATTTAGATATGTTAATATGCTCTTCATGGCGACAAAAATTATCAAACATTCCTTATATTTCAAATGAAAATGTAGATATTGATTCTCCCCTTCATATAATTAATCAAGAGGCTATTGATAACATTAATATATCCCTACAATCAAAGGGGGAATCTCTCAATAAAGGAAAACGCTTATGTGAAAAGAAATATTCTAAGAAAAAAATATCTAGAGTAAAAAGAAGTTTTAACGACTGAAATTATACCATTATCTTTCTTCATCAAATGATGAAAAATTCGATGAAATTGTAGATACTATGAAAGATATTTATTTTGGAAATTTGTTACATTATTAAGTGTCTAATGGGCATATACCCACTCTGCTCCTCTAATTAGTATATTTAATAGAAAATCAAAATTTTTTAATATAAAAAGTGAAAATATCTGGTTATTGATAAGGTAGCAGCAAAATTTTAACCATAATCCGTAATTTCATAAAGCGCCATCTATTTCTTTTGTTAATTTTTGGAGTCGATAGCGTCACCAAGGTTTTGATATTGTATATATATTTAGCAAAGGTGTCTAAATAAAAAACAATAAAAAAAACTCGAAAACAAACTCACTATTTTGCTTAAAAATACAAGTAAAGCAATTTAGGCAAATAGGATGTTAAAAGCCTATAATGGCGCCAATATTTATTATTCTTTGTTAGCCCATTTGAGAATATTTTTACCTACAAAATGATATATTATAATATTTTTTACTATAAATAGTTTTTGAGATATAAGCATTTTAAAAATTTTACAGATTCCAAAGTGGCTCTTTTTCGTACCTTTGAGCCTATATATCTCAAGAACCAGGTGTGCTAGCGAGCTAAAATAAACGGCTTTCTCGCTTTCTCACTCTTTTACCTATCTAAGCAATTCCAGAAATTTTTAAAAATTTTAAAAGGGGTCGACCGAATCGTGATCGATTTGACGTGGAATGGCCCATAGGCATTTTTATTGCTATCAATACTCATTATACTTCTATTTGTTCGAGTAATCCGATATATTTAAATCGAATATATTCATATTTTTTTACTATTCTATTCGAATCAATATTTTGAATCGTTTATAGGTTTATAACTCACTAGAAGTTTATCCCGGCACCCTTCTAACAGAATATGAAGGGACACATTAAACCTAAAATAATGCAAT